GCCCCTTGGGGGGTGGGGCCCGCGCTGCCTCCGCCTCGGTCCCGGGGCGTCGCTAGGCAGCGGGGGGCGGGGCCTCCTCGGCGCCGCCATTTTTTAAAAGCTGCCGCTCTTTGACCCGCTTTGCGGTCATTGCCTTTGTGTTGCTCTGCGGCTCTCAGCTACGGTCTCCCGCGGGGGCCTGAATTGGCACGTCCGCGTCCAGCGATGGAGTAGCAGGTGCAACCTCAGTTCCGTTGTGCCTGCTCATAACGTGGCTGAGCTTCCCCCATGAGCCCCTTCCGGGCCCCTACCAGGGCTGGGCTATTCCAGATCTGTTAACTTGGGCATGGGTGACTGGTGAGAACATGCCTTGGGAAGGGGGAAGGGGAAGCGCTAATGAGGAGGAGAATATAGTCGGTGCTATCCTGCACGAATTGCCACGGTGAGAGAACGAAGGCTGCTGAACGGAGAAATAAGTTTGGGACCATATAGCTCCTAGGCTTCACAGAAACACAATGAAAATCAGATAATGGTTGTATAATCTCTGGCATGAGGATAAGAGGGGCTTGAAAACTAGGACACTAAATTCAGTAGAATGGCCTGTGTGCACAAGAAGCATGAGGATTCAAGGTCTTGTGTGCAGTGTGATGTGGGTAATGGTTGGTTTCACTCTACACACTTGGGGTTTCACTCTGCTCGGGGTCTTGCTGACACAACGCTGGGGTTTTGTCCGATGTGCAAGGCTGCCCTGAGCAGTAAAAGCTTTGTTGAAGCACCAGACGAGACCAAAGGGCTATCATTTGATTCAGAAGCAGTTCCCAAACTTCCCCATTTTTCCAAATCTGATGGTAGACTCAGGAAAGAAAAACGAAGGTTCCCTTAAATCCACTAGCACCTCTGCTGTGTAATATGGTAATGAGCTACATAATGATGGCAGGAAAGATAAAGTTATTTCCCTAAGTGATGATGAAGATGATTTACTACAATGTAAACAAACAGATTTGGGGTCTGAATCTATGACTACTTGGCCACATACAGCTGTAGGGGTAGAAATTTTACAAGAGACTGTTAAGCAGTCATCAGTCAGCATTGACTCTGAAAGGAAGAGCAATGATGCAGAGGGCACTGTGACCAGAACAGCATTACAGAAAACATTACGTACCAAACTTCCCTTTAACCCGGAAGGTAGAGTTACTGCTGCCTGTCCATCAAAATTCAATATTATTTTGGTATGGATTAGTGGAAACAAATATATCGGGACCGGGACTTCCCTGCTGTGATAGAAGCCGGACTTG